TATCTTACCATTTCTTTGGTGCTATGCTTAGGAAATCTTAAGAGATCCTATTCTAATTGTTTCATTCGCTACATGGCGCTTTGTTGACTGCTTGTCACAAAGCTGAACTTCCAGAAATGAATCCTTGACCTGAGAAATAGAAAGGAAAGCCAACAGAAAGAAAAACATTTAGAGAACATAAATAAACAAAACTCGAGTGTTGGTTCAAGAGCTTTGTGACAACCTTGGGTTCTGAAGGAAGGAATACTCTCTGAAATCAATTAGAGCAACAAAAATAGCAGAAGAATAGCCTTTTTTTTTCTAAACGTTTAATGGAAAAGCTTATGAAACTTAAAAAGTTACATGCTCAGCCACGTAGAAAACCATTGGACATGTAGTGTTAATCATCATGGAGTACGTACAGCGGAATTCTTTGGGGAATTGGTGGGCTTTCCGATTACTACTTGGATGCATAAATAGTAGAACATTTTGCAATTAAGATTTTAAAAAAATTATTATCATAATTAGCTATTTTGGAGGACGTATTAACTTTGCCGCACCCCGACCGTATTATTAACATTATTAACTAAAAGTTACATGTCAGGATTGCTGATTTAGCTTTCTCTCGTCGCTCCAGACAGGATCTCCTCCTCTTACAGTCTGGAACCCTCCCACCTATATACAATGCAAATCAGCTGCATAATTTCTATATATCATTACTGTAACCACAAACTCCCCCTACCAAATTAAGCCTTAAAACCTCTGCCTTATACCTAAAAGGGTCATTTATGTACTATCAAACTTTCTTATGCCAAAAATAACTTCAGTCTGCTTTTTAAGCATCTCACCTGATCATGAATCTCATGACCAGAGCAAAGTACTATTCCTCATCAACCTGCAAATCCAATACCACAGAAAAAAAAAAAAAAAACACAGCAGTGCACAAATTAAATCTCTACCTGCACTAGAACCAGAAACAAATGTTTAATATGCAGTCCACAATCTCTTAGCAGGAAAATCCAGTCTGTATATATAACCTGAGATTTCCTTCCTCCATATAACTTGTATCGTAGGCACTTCAAAACTAATTAGTTGCATAACTTAGAATCTTTTATATATTTTTATATTTTGCAGTAGATCCAAATCAAGTCGCCAGGAAAAAAAACTATATGTAAAATTAAAGATTATATGGCCTCCTGCTTCTTTAAAGACTTGAAACTTTCATCGTCCAAAGTCATGAAGCTCTCTACGTAGGAGCTGACCCCGAAGAAGCTGCTCTTCCGTCCTTTTTTAAAGATAGTCGCTTCAACTCGTTCTTCCACTGGGTTGTAGACCTGCAGCTTGCCGTCGGACCTCTCCAACAGCGCTCTGACGCGGAACTGATGAGGATAGCAGCAGCGATCGATGCTGTACGCCTTCACCCACGACGCGCAGCTGTCACGGCCCTCCTCCAGCAGCCACAGATCGACTCTCGATCGCCCCCAGCACTCCATGCACAGCGATCCGCCCAGCCGCGTCAGACGAAAGTTCCAATCCTCGTCACGAGAGTCCCGTAAGAAATGTCTTATGCTGGGCAGCGGTAGCTCTGACCATTCCTCCTTCTCGAGATCAAACCGGGCTATTGCCTCGTTGTCGACGTCGTGCAGGTCGTGCAGGTCACCGACAGCCAGCCGCCATGTAAAAATACCTGGCAGGAAATGGACGGCTTCGTCGACGACGGCTGAGTTCTCGTCATGAACCCAAAAGGGGGGGCCCTCCTTGATGTCCCTCCATCTCCCTGACCCAAGGGTGAAGACCTCACTTCTTCTGATTGGGTGCTGGAGACTGGAGAAGAAAAGAATCACACGGAGCACCTTGTATTCCCCTACAGAAGGAAGGTAAGCAAATGCCACCGTACTGTAGGACCCCAAAGATCTCGTGGGCAAAGCGATCTGCTCCCCGGTCGCAGGGTTCCGGATGTAGATGTCATGGGGATCGTACATGCAGACGAGGTCGAGGCAGCAGGAGAAGACGAGCCTCCTGTGGAACCAAAACAGTCTCGGTAAGTAGTAGTCTGTGGTGGTTTCACGGTCGACTAGGGGTTTTCCTCCTCCTCCTCCCCGCTTCTTGTAGTAGTCTAGCGCGTGGAAGTGGGTCCGGCGGTACCCCCCACCGTCGCATTCGGAGGAGGTCGCCACGAGGAGGAGAGGGTTCCGTTCGGATCGGCGGGGGGGGGGGGAGGTGGAGGGGGGGGGGGGGAGGTGGGGGCAGCTTGAGGCGCGAGAGGGTCTTCACGGGGAGGAGGAGGAGGATGTCGTAGACTACGTCGAGAGGGAGGGACGGCGGGTTCGACGAGTATAATTCGTTGTTGATTTCAGAGGCGGCCATGTTAGATAGATATCAGCCAGTAGGAGGAGTTTAATTGGAGCTTTGTTGATCGATGGGGGGCAGTATATAAATAGAGCACGACGACCAGATGAGCCCTAGGAGGAGGAGGGGGAGGACTAGGGCAAACAAAATTCTCCCCAAATCCGGCCTCCCTCTTTGAATTAAAAAAAAAAGGGAATTTTTGCAAAATAGACCTTTTTTGATAAATAATTAGCAAAATAGACCATTTTGCTAAATAATTAATAAAATAGGTCGGTCGATTTTGAAAAACAACTCAGAAAACATACGGGACTAGTAGTCCCGTATGTTTAGAGCCAACTTAAAAAAATCACGGATTAGTGAACTTAGAAAACATACCAAAAAGAGAATTTTGATAAATATTTAGCAAAAAATGACCATTTTAAAAATTTTCCCATTAAAAAAAGTTCAAGTAGTAGCTCTAGTCAGAATAGGAGAACAAATACTATTCACAAGCGAACAGAACATCTATCTACTTCTTTGTTACTAAAGGAGAACATCAAAACAGATAATATGAACAGTAACCTAAGATTATAAAAGATTATAACGAATGAAAAAAACTAAATGAATAACCAACCCACGTTCTCGCACGTCTAAGACAACTGCTCTCTCACAAATTCCCTTTCTCTCCGTCCCTCTTTCTTCTTCCCACCTGAACCGAAAATCCTCTTTTTTCTTCCCAACAAAAATTAGTGTTCTCGCGCACACACACACAAGGGATCCATCTAATCGATTCAGATCCATTGCGTCTCAAAGGCGTATGCTTCTCAAGGTCATCATCCTTGGCGACAGCGGGTTTCCGTACATCGGCCCGACTCTTTTTTTTTAATTTCATATTTTGCGTCTAATTCTTTGTAATTTTTGTTGACTTTTGTTAGATCGTGTTTAGGGCTGGGAAGACATCGTTGATGAATCAGTATCCTTGAGCTCTTATGAGCTTTGAATTTTAATAATCTGTATTTTTTAATGTGATCTGAGATTTGGAGTTATTTTACGCGTGATTTGGACTTAATTCGGTAATAATCTGTATTTTTTAATGTGATCTGAGATTTGGAGTTATTTTACGCGTGATTTGGACTTAATTCGGTAATTTTAGATATGTGAATAAGGATTTGGAGTTATTTTACGCGTGATTTGGACTTAATTCGGTAATTTTAGATATGTGAATAAGAAGTTCAACAACCAGTACAAAGCCACGATTAGGGCTGATTTATTAACCAAAGAGGTTCAGATTGAGGACAGGATCTTCACTTTACAGGTTAGATTCCTTTTTTGTGTTTTCGTCTTTTTTTTTCTTCCTCAAAAAGATTTTTTCAGGTTTTTATTTTGTGTTAGTGCCTACCAATTAAGCTATTTTTATTCGTATTAAAACGCGGGTGATGATAGACGATGCTGCGTTTGAATACCATTTTTCGATTTTCTATTTAGTATTTAAAATGAGTGTGGACTGTTGTGCCATTTCTGTTGATTATCATTGTGCTATATTTTGCATCCTAAGTTAAATAATCTTGATTTCTTTAGGACAATGTTGGAGTTGGTTGGCTACTTGAATTAGTGTATTTAATCCCCTAGCGCTGTCAATTGCAAAATGTCATGAAAACAAAACAAAACATTTTTTTTTTAAAATTAAATAGAAATCTTTTATAGCAAAACTTAATGCCATAACAGTTCAAAAGAAAAACGGCTAGTGTTTCTTTCTTCTTCTTCATTCCCTCGTTTTCTTCGGTTTTCTCAGATTGTTTTGCATATAAACCCCTCAAAAATCTAGCAAATGTTGTTGCAATAAGTAATGCAACATATATGTTCAAGTTTATTCTGAAATATTTATAGCAGCTTTTTTTCTGAAAATGAAATATACCAAATAGTGTAAGATATTTATTCAAATTCAACGATAAGGGGCTGTTTGGTTCATTTCCTAGATACAGGGAAATGCATTTCCATGTACAAATTCACTACAATAAAATACAACATTACCGACGAAACAAAAACGTCGACGAAAGTTTAGAAAACGTCGGGAAAAATCTTTCCTGACGCAAAATGCAGCGTTGCTAAAGCGTCGCCAAAAGTGCGTCAAGGAAAGTATTTGGCGACGCAAATACACTGCGTCGCCAAAAGTACACTTTTGGCAACGCGTCATGCGTCGGGAATAGTATATCTTTTAGCGGCACATAATATTTTACGTCGGCAAAAGTGTACTTTTGGCGACGCATGCAGCGTCGGCAAAAGCTACTGAATGTATAGCTTTTAGCGACGCAAAATTGTTCGTTGTTAAAAACTATACTTTTGGCGATGCAAGTTAGCACCGGCCAAAGTTTAGCTTTTAGCGACGCAGAATAAAACGTCACTAAAAACTATATCTTTGGCAACGTAAGATAGCGTCGCTAAAAGATATTATTTTTGATGATGCAATCTAGCGTCAACAAATGTATTTTTTTTTAGTCGGTAAAAAGTATATTTTTATTGATACTAATTTGCATCGTCAGAAGTAATATATTTTCTGTCAACTACACTGAACCTGAACATCCACAACAAATTTGCTCCAATTCACATCAACAAATAAACCAAACATCAAATTATACTTCAAACAAGTTGCATATTAACAGCTAAAATAATATCAGTGCTTATTTTCACAATCATTAAAATGAAACAAATAATAACATTAGTAAATAAATTTAAACACAATTCTATTAAACAAATAACAAGTGTTTGACACATGTTTTATTAACAAATCCAACAATCATGATTAAGTAGACTTGAACAATAAAGACTATAAAGAACACATGTCTTATCAACGTTGCAAGCCTTTCCTTCGTCACGTCTCTGGCTTCTTCTTCCCACCTTCACCATCCATCTCCTACTTCTGTTGTGTAGCTGCAATGGAAAGAAATGTACTCAGTAAGGCAAATAAAAAGTTAAAATCAAACACAAAAAATAATATCATAACGTAAAAAATACCCTACAAAAAATTTAATATAAAGTTTAAAAAAATTTCAGACATGAAGTTTTAGTGAATGTATAAAAATCTGATAACAAATGATTGAATTAGTTTCTCACCATGTTATCTTTCAAACAAGAAGGTTATGTACTCAAGTTTTGAGACAGTCTTTTAGTGGAAAGCTTGCAAGATTCAACTAACTATGAGATAAAGTATATATAACAAACTGTAGATTCTCACTTTTAGAAGCAATTAAATCATAATTAATCCATACTTGCTACAAAATTATGAATACCTTGAAGAGGAAAATACTAACTAAAAAATTAACTGAAATGTAAAGAAACTAATTAATACCTTGACCAAAATACATCCTGTGAATATGTATATAACAAGCAGATTATGTACTTAAAATAATACATCCTGCGAAGACCAAGTAGTACTACTAACTTTAAATAGTTATTATAATTTTATAATCATAAAATATAATCATATTTCATTACTGATCTTTTTAATCTGTAACATGCATAGCATGGCAGCAAGTTTATGCACATAGATAAAGTACTAGTAGGAAGAACTTACAACATCAGCAACAACATGATCTAGTGAAGGAACATATCCGTGCAGTCCATCACTACTTCCATGACCTGAAATTTTAAAAGATAAACCAGTTGTAAACATCAAACAGATGTCTGAATACCTTAAAATCAAAAACAGAACCTATGACACACAAAACAATCAAACAGATGTCTGAATACCTTAAAATCAAAAACAGAACCTATGACACACAAAACATTATCGGTTTGTGCTTTGAGATAGTCATACCTTAAAATCAAAAACAGAACCTATGACACACAAAACATTATCGGTTTGTGCTTTGAGATAGTCATTGGGTATTTCCAGAAGAGTGGTTGCATTGAAGAAACTACATATGGTAATACATTCAAGAACTCTACTGCTTCCCATACTAATCTTTAGAAGCAAATGACAGATGACCATGAATGAAAGAAAGCTGATAACAATGAGTAATGTTAACACTACTACTCATAGCACACTATTCGTACAATTTTCAGAGGAATGAAAGGTGTGCCTTGTTGCTAATTCACCAAGGTCCAAGACAAACCAGGGTTTCCACTCTCCATCTCATTGTAATGCTGCTAAACTTGTACAATGAACGTAACACAATATACATTTTCCAAAAATAATAAAGAAAAATAACATCGACCAGAAACTGGCATAATCAGAATATTTAACATGTATTCATGCATGTATCATTTGGAGGTAAAGATCACTCTTTCTAGACTCTCTCGTGTCATGTATCATTTCGAAGTAAAGATCACCATATCTAGACTCTCTCATGTGAAGAAAATTAGTTTCAGCTTGAATGGGCTTTCATAGTCTTGTAATCAAAATGATGGAAGTCGAAAAAATTTTGCAAGAAAGGGACAAAACAGAGAGGTGCCAGAGAACAGTGTATACATGATGTCTACCTGTCCAATCCATTGCATATACTCCAAAGTTGCACGACATGAGTTTCTTTGCGAACTCCGTATATCTATCACTGGAAATAGAAAGCATCAAATTAGTATTGCAATTCATATAACTGACTACAATGATATGGATGTCTTCATCCTATGGACAGGTAGGAAGACCAAATTCCCTAAACCTCCAAAATATAACCAAAAAACGTACAGTAAAAAAATCAGCCACCACAATAGCAACCATTTGATAGGGACTGGAAACTCGTCATTTTTAGGACTCCAGGATCACAGTTCATACAAGCCACTGCCTCCATTAAGGAAAAGATTCATTCTCTAGAACGAGCCTGACACCAACAACCATCCAGACAGTCTGACGGATTGCATTGAAATATTATGATATGAACCTAAGGTTGCTAAAAACAATAATGCTTTAGAGGGTCATGCTCATTATCATCCTACATGTTTCTTACCTATGTTCATTGAGGCCGTGTATAATCACCAGAATAGCCCTGCAAAACCAAAGGGAAAAACAAAACAAATGTTGGTTGATACTTTTGTCCAGCATCTAAGAAAAAACCAGCAAAAAAAAAGTACCTAAGTAAGAACTTACAGAAGTACTACAAAAATATTTTATTAGCTAAAGAAATGATTCAGACTTCCGCCTAGTGGATCATACAAAACCATATAAGAATGGATCATCTCCAACAAATACATTATAAACTCCTGCCTCTGCCTCCTTTCGACCTGAAGTTTTCAAATAAAAAATGAGAAATTATAAGAGAAATCACCTAGTGCATCAGAGACATTTTGATCCAGATAAAGAGAATCGAGGGGAAGCATATTAGAGTGTAAGGAGGAGCAAACCACAAGAAGGAGAAAAAAGGGGAACATGGAGTAAGCTGCGACCAAGCACAAGGCGATCTCTTAATTAGTGTAAACCAATGTCTCAACTAACCTATCAATTGATCATAGATAAAGAACATCATGATGATGTCTTTTCTTTACATGCATCAATTCTGCCTATTATCATAAAGGAAATTGTCTTCGTATCATTCATAAGCCAAAAGCATAGAATATTTTTCTGTCCGCAGGTAAATTGCAACTATAACCAACCGCACCAAGTGCGATACTACAAGCTTACACCACAAAATTGCATCCATGAAGCGCCAAAAGTACACTGATCAAGAAATCTAGTAATCAGATTGCATGTAAAAACAATTCAGCTAATCTTGACCTAGAAATACAGAACAAACTAAGCCCATCATCAAGTTCTACAATTAACCATTAAAAAAAGCCAGAGAAATCACGAATAAACTATCTCAAGGGCAGATAATACTCACAGTGTTGCCAAACGTTGCCAGCCAAATCCTCGGTCTTCTTCGCTGCTTCCCCCATCTTCCCCCACCTCCCGAGCGCGTCTTTAATTTACTGCCCCAACAGGATCCAATCAAAGTTTCAACACTCAATCAAACGTAAACCCCTAAATTAAAAATCAATCACAAAAAAATCCTAACAGGCCGATTCAATCAAAGATCTGAAATTAAAGAGATCGCAAAGGGGCTCACTCTTCGAGGAGGATGAAGCGGCGGCGGGAGAGGGAGTGACGTATGGGTTGGACTCCGGCGGCATGGTGGTCGCCTGGTAATCACCAGCGGTTGCGGATCTCGCCGCCGTGTCCGTCGCCGGAGGGGGAGGAGCCACGTCAGCGGGGTCGAGCTTAGGGTAGGGAGCGTAGTCCGCAGAGTGAGAGTGCTGGTCGCCGCTGGGCTCGGTTTTGGCCTGGACAATTTTAACGGGTTGATCAGCGACAGCGGCGGAGGGTTCCATGATTTTGAAAGGGAAGAGGGGATGTCTTCTCTTCTAGCGGCGGCGGCCGAGGCGAGAGAGATCTCGGCGATTGAGAAGAGGAGGAGGATTGCTAGGGCAGCGAAAGGAAAAAGTTTTGCCTCAGCGGGAAATGAAAAAATAGGGGGGATGAAATGAAAAGTAGGCGGGCAAGTGAAAAAAAAGAGGGGGGTTTTGGCGACGCACATGAATAGTAAAGCATCGGTAAAAGTATAGCTTTTAGCAACGCAATAGTTTTGCGTCCTAAAAGCTATATTTTTGCCGTCGCAATATAGCGTCGGCAAAAATGTTTATATTTAGTGATGCAAAATTGTTCGTTGCTAAAAGCTACATTTTTTGCTGACGCTAACGTGCGTCGCCAAATGTATACTTTTTTGCGACGAATATTTTTACGTCGCTAAAAGCTATACTTTTGCCGATGAAAATGAAAAAACGTCGGGAAATCCATACACTTTTACCGACGCTATGTTAAAACGTCGCAAATAATATACACTTTTAGCGACGCTAATTATAAACGTGGGGAAAAATATATGTTTTGCCGACGCTAACTAAAATCGTCGGGAAAAACATAGTTTTTGGCGACGTATTTTACCATGTGTCGGGAATAAGCGTCGGGAAAAGTGCAATTTGTTGTAGTGAACCCAACAGTCACGAAGAGC